CGCGTCCAACTCACAGATGAGTTGAAGTTCAGGGTTTCCTGTTAAATTCTCACGTCCAGAGAAGAACACATCCAGGACAGGACGGTTCTGTTAGAGGCGGAAAAAATCATGAACATGAAGAAAGTCGTTAATGTGAAAACTTGCCGCCGTGTCCACGTGATGTGAAGTCACCTTTCATAGTTACTGAGCAGCCGCTTGTCTTCATTAGTTAATTCACACTGCAGCCTAATTAGTGTACCTGTTAAAGCACCAACGAGCAGAAGGGCTCCAGCTCAAAGCGCTGCTCTGTTCTTCATGACAAAGCAGCTTCCATCACTTCTGTTGCACATCGTTAAAGTGCTCTTTGTACCGATGAGTGTTGCTGCCACTCCTTCATGGAAGAAGTGAGAAATTGATTTGACTGAGTTTCCAGTCAATTAGCACTTTAGTCCAGTTTCATTCAGAAAGCGGACACACTGGTCCGGTAGCGTCCTCAAGCCCCAGAGCAGCGCTGAGGTGTAACCCACATGTGCACAGGTGCTATTCAAAGGAAAAACAGCTCCGTCCACTTCAGCCTACAACTAAAGTGGCGTCATGACAAACCAACAGGTGGCGACAAAGACCCCAAAGCCACATCAGCCAATCAGAAGCCTGAAAATAAAGTCATTTCTGGTACGTAACATTTTCCACTGCACCACCTTGTGGACCTTTTTGTGCATAACTTCCCTTGGAGAGTCTCCTGCGGGAAACAGCACCGACGTTGTTTGGTGCTTCGGACTGGACCGGACACTGACTGAACTCAGAGAAGACAACAAGATTCATTTCTGCACACTTTCAGCAGCAGTCCTCCTGCATCTAACACCAGCATCAGCAAGGTAAGGTTTGCTCTACAGGCTCACATAACAAGCCGTCATCCTGTTTCCTCTGTGCTCAATAAACTGGAGTTATGTCTATCTGCCAGCTAGCGCCGCAGTTGAAGCTAGCGCAGTGGACATCTACTGGCTAAAGGGGTCGACTGCGTTTTGTTTCAAGTTCCCGCAGCGGAAAGACGCCAAATGCTGCATCAACAAAGAGGGGAGTTGAAGGTGTGCTCTGGTCTTTGAATGGAAGAGTAACAGTACATGTAAACAAGTAAAAAGTCCTGCTAGCAACATTAGCATTAGCACTGTGATAACGAACACACTCAGTCCTCCCTGGCATCCCTGCTAACAGTTTCTTACCATAAGTTTAAACTGACCTGAAGCTGCATTTGCGAGTCGGCCAAGAAGAAGCTCCATTTTAAATAACACCCGAGTACGTGTGGACAGGAGTTTAAGTCAACTTGGATTTTTACCTTCAAGTCAAAACAGTGTCTGGATGATGTGTAGAACACAGCCTCCAGAACCAGCACTGACACCAGCTGACATCAGACACTGAAAAGCCTCATTATGCAGCACACTGGTGCGACACTGCAGCCACGCACACCAGCTCACCAGAAAAGACGCCAGCGGGGAGAGAAACTCATCTCCTCCATGTACACTGAGTTTCCAGCTGCTGCAGTGAACGCGTGCAGTCTTTTGCTCCGTCCTGCCTCAGCGTGGGCTCATTCTGCTTCAGTTTGTCTGAAAGAACCGGATCAGAGCCGCTGTTCTGCAGCTTCGTTGTCGTCGTCTCCAGTGAGTTTTCTGCTGTAACAACCAACTAAAGCTACAGTCAACACACTACGAGTGGCGCTTGGTCCA